TCCCTACAGAAAGGGAAGTGAAAGCGCACAGCACACTTTTAAATCAATGTAAGAGGGAGTATGCCACTAGTTGTAGTAGTATAATTATTTGGATTTTTAAAAATTACCTCTCTAAAAAATTAATTATATCCTTACTTTGGGCAAAATCACACAAAAGTCAGTCTGCCACTTTAATGTGAGATTACATAGTTAGTTAAGCAAACGTCTAAATACTAACCAGCAGAACTTCTTCCAGCTCACAAGAACCCTTCTACCTTCAAGGTGAACACCCTCCCCTTGTCCCTCCCATATCAAATCAAATAAAAATCCCTTACAGGAAAATCTTATTCCACTGAAATCAACAATTGCATTCTTATCAATTTCAATGGGAAAAAACAGTTTTCAGCTTGGGATTTTTTTTTTAATAACTTCTCAGTGCCTCTTTTATTGACTTTAATGGTTTATACCCATGATTAAAATTAGGCCTGAGATTCAACTGCCTTACTGAATGAAGTGAACAGATTAACAGGATGCCAAATAAATACTGTTAATTATGAACGAATGATGTCACAATATTGCTTTTAAATGCTAAAACACTATTTTCAGGAGTACAACAGGCTGAAGTATCTGCAAATTTCAGTTAAACTGCTTTTGAAATAACTGAGGCATCAAAATATTTAATAATAATTAGACTAAAATAAGAACGAATACACTAAAATGAGAGCAATCATTATTATCAGCAGTGCACTATAATTGCTGTGAAATTACAGTTTACAGAATCTTGCATGGAATTCTGTTTTGAAACTATTAAAACCCATAATTTATCTCCCTTACTAGTAAGAACATATTAATTTACTCCAAATACTGTCAAAGTGTACTATAGCAAACAACAATTAGGTACTTTCTAAAGATTTAAAATGCATATGCACTTCCACACAGTGAAACCATTTCATAAGTGTATATTTTCAAGATATTTCATGCCTATGACCAGTTCCCTTCCTCCCTTCCCCATAAAAAGCATACAGATTTTTTCACAAAGTGTAATATTAATTAATCAAGGAGGGAAAGCTTTGCGAATGATGGTTTTATAGAAATCTCTTTGTGAACTCAAAAAACAACTATGTTTCTCAGAAGTTTCTTGAACTATTCTACAGTGCTTGTATTCCATTCAAAATGTGGGTGTGAGAAGGAGATTTACTCCTACATCACACTGGAAAATTACAGCTGAATCTTAGTGTAACAGTTTATTAACTGTCCTCAAGTTTTATTTGCTATAATTTTTCCCCCTTGTATCAAAACTTCAAGATGAATCTCACTTGATCTTTTCAGTCCTTACTTCCAGCCTTTTCACATCCCTTGCAAAGTTTTTTTTCTCAACTCTTTTGCTAGCTTTGCATGCTGATTTCTTCTCATTTTGGGTCACGTACCTATGATTAACCTCCTCTTCCTGATAGTTAATGTGTTCGTTAATACAATTGGTACAAATACTTCTTAGGAAGATAAGTCTTTGAACAATGGCATAGTCTTACCTAAGACACGGGATACTGTCCTTCATCGATCCTTCACATGCTACAGTGTTGGTACTGCCTGAAAGGTTCTTTAAAGAAGGAAGCTGGGAGGAGGCATCAGGAAATGGCGGAACGATTTCCGGTTCAGGAGTAATGATATCTTCTACTTCATACTGAAGTCGTACCTCTAATGACTTAAATAAATAAAAAACTAAGTTATAATTTAGTAAAGAAAGCTACTGGAAGTTCTATTACTTTCAAATAAATACCAGTAACTCTGTCTTTCTGAAAATAAACACACCTTTTCCTGGCAACAAAACCCGTTATTTCTTACTTATGCAGCCTAACAGCATAAGCAGATAGGGAACTAGTCATCTACCCTATACTGGTGAAGGGTATGTAGGCATATTTCTCCAAGTCCTACTTTGATCTAAGCCTTTTATTGTAGGTAAAAGGAAAGAATATAAATACAAATTTCTAACACTTAGTATGAAAAGAGAAATGAATCATTCATCCTAAAATACAAATTATTTCAGTATAAGAAGGCATCACTTAGGATTAATGTCCTGAAATGTTCTGCCTGTTGTCCAATATCCTTTTCCTAAGCAAATTAATTGAAAGAATCATCAGCTCCGTCTTCATACTGCTAGTACACCAAAGTCGGTGTACTACCTATCGGATAGATTTCAGCCAGCATGCAAAAACCTGACAGTGTGGATAGTACTGACCAAGGGATTTCATTTGCCCATAGGTAGGAGTCAGGAAATCATACAGAGATAACAGCCCATAACATTCCATATTCTTTAGATGGCAAATAAGTTTGGCAGATTCTGGAAAGCAAAGTCCAAAACAGCTATCTTTCACGTTCATTCTGGGCTAGAGAAAAGGAAACAGGCTCAAATCTATACGACTAATGATCTCAAAGATTCACAATAAATGTTGGGTAATTCTTTCTCTCTCATGAATTGCCCAAGGAGATTGCTATTTTGAAAAAAGTAAGAAACAAGGAACAGCCCTCAGAGTGGTAAGGTCCTGGGAATACTATCTGAATAGTAATTGCAATGCTGGTTTTCTGAAGCGGTCAACACATCAGAAACAATTACAGATATAGACACTGCAAAGTTCTTCTCAGTTAGCGATCTCTCTCTGAGACAACATCTATACCAAGATGAAGATGGCAGCATTAGGAAAATAGCTAGGTTTTATGAAATCAGGAGATAAAGATCTGAGCACTGAGCACTCGCCTATCACTAAAAATCAAGGGCTGTGTTAAAACACGAGCTTGCAGAAATAAGTGATTCTATTCAATTAGAAGAGAAAGTATCCCAAAATTTCACTTTTGCTTTCTCCACTGCAAAAACTATAGATTTTTTTTGCCTAAAATGACTAAGAAACCTACAGACAGTCTTTGCCTTCAAAGACTAACGAGCGAAATACTGTGCTATAATCTCTTGGAAATAACTGCTGCCTGAATGAAACAATTTATAACGTTGTTTAGTCTTCATGACTGACTGAAGTAACTATTGAAGAATATGTTTCTCCTGCTTACCATGTTAGAAAGACTTCATTCTTCTTCGGTTGTTTTAATCTGTCTCCTTTTTTTTTTTTTTTTCTTTTTTTTTTTTTTTTTTTTTTTTTTTCCTCTCTCTCTCTCTCTCTCTCTCTTTTTTTTTTTTTTTTTAAATAACCTGATTTTTGTTAAGTTCTAGTTATCATTCACTTGCAGACAGAAAGAAAAATTTAGGCTAATCATATGACTGCTAATATTTTTAAGCATTGGTCCCAGCTGACTGGGCCTTGAAAGCAATGCAGACCTGTCATACCAGTTTATTTTGGTCCACTTTGTAAAGATCTCTTTGGAGGATCCCATCATTAGGTTCACTGATTCTCCTTTTGACATTCAAACTAATGCAAACTTTTTTTCTGATTCTTCTCAAGAGCTTAGAAAATGAGCTATACTGAGGAAAGACTGATACTATCATAGTAATTTAAGTTCCTTTCTTCAGAAAGTGATCATGCTTACTAGACACCTGTTTCTTATAAAAGTGGGAAAGCTTAACATGTTTTTCTTTCCTGGACTGGATGGAATGGATTCAGATGTCAAAAAGGAAAAGAAGGCTATTTATATAACTGTATGAGACTGACTCCAAGACTGGAAGTCCGATATGGAAGGATGCAAATAATTCTCCTGTTCAGGAGATCCCAAAGCCAACGCAGGCCTTAGGGCATACCCAGGCGTGGACTTAACCTGTCACATGAAGAAACCTCTGTGTAGCCTCCACGCTTTCCATTCACCATAGCAATGATGCTACAAGACTGATGTCAGGCAGATAAACTAACATGGGTTACTACTTAAAATGCTGTCTGCTGCTGTACTCAAAGGATTTGTGGATTGAACTCAAGTTGAGTTTAGGCTGGTTGCTAGAGATGTGAGGACACCAAGTGCTAGAATCTGAGTTCACTTAATGCAGTAGAAAGGTCCTGAGACTGATCAGCTCAGGCTCAATGTAGACAAACTAAACAACCTAAGTCAGGTAGGTATTCCAACAAAGACTGCAATATTTTTTATATTAAAAAAAAAAAAAGGCACCAATTAGGAGTGATGATTGAGTGCTTGCAATAAAAATGCTGAAACCAAAAGCTGAGGCACATCTGTTGAATAGGGATGCACAAAGCCCAGGGAAACTCATTGACAATGTCAGCAATATTAGGTAGTAATAGAACAACGCTTCACAAAACAATCCCTCACACAAAAGCTTCCAAACTACAGATGAAATTGAGAAACTGTTAAATTGCACATATTATTACATTTTAGAAAATACCAGTTCTGCTGCAATTCAGCTGAAAAATTAAGAGACATGAAAATACTGAAAATAAAAGATAGGTAATAAGAGCTACTGTGCAGTTGCTATGGAATAGTATAAGGACATTCAGATGTAATAACAGCATTATAGATCAGCTGGTCAGTAAGGCAGAATTACTGTTCATTAGTTTTTAAACTTTCCTGAAAGGGTAATGAATCTCCTAACCAACTGGCACATGATTACAGCCCAGAAGTGACATAAATGTTTTTGCCAGGCTAGAGCCATAGATATCAAAAGGACATTAAAATACTGTGAAAAGGAAAAGAATTTTTGTTGGAGAGATGGAACATAGAAGAGAAAGTTTGGTTCAGCCACTGGGTTTGTTGAGAGCTGGCAGACACAGAGAAAGACTTTCTGGCGAGAGAGCGCCCAAAGATGCGAACTATTCTCCAGAGCGAGTTAAGGCAAGCCTGAGGGAGAGACATTCATGTTTAGGTTGTCTCATTCTTAACAGTAGTCTTTTGTTAAAGATCTTAGACTTAAGAAAGAATACTTTATTTTATGCATGCTGTTCAGCCACTCTATTAGCAATGGTTGTCGCTCCTGTGCGAAACAGAAACGCAAAGTTTAAATCAAAGTCAGGCTTGCTGTGTGACTATGGTAAGAACAAGGTGACTGCAGTGCAGTTAAAAGAGTATGAACTGTCTGCTTCTACCTCAAATCAAGTGCTTGCTTAAGACCTGAGTCAGAAAAAGGAGTATTTCAACAGGAATGAGGAACAAGATGCTTAGGAAATTATCACTTTCAATCGCTTAGGCATAAGTAGTTTGGCATTACATAGTGTCCACTTTTGAGGAAACACAGTTAGCATAAGCCAAAAAAATCAAAAACTATTTTGTTAAAAGCAGTGACAATTTTCAGTTCCCCTGTGTAGTGTGTTACAAACACTATGAACATAAACTAAAGAGATGAAATGCTTGAATTAAGACGACCAACACTACGCATGTATTATGCGCCCAGAATTTTTACAGCAGGTAGGTATGACAGAGACTTGCAGTATCATAAAGTCCTGAAAGCAAATCATATCTGAAGCTATATTTACATAGTTTGATATAAGTTATATTTAAGTATATGAACACAGATGCAGCAAGGCACTCAGATTTAGCAATGGTGGTCTATTATGAGAGTAAAATTCTAAAGGACTTACTGCAATTTCAGTGTTTACTTCATGTTTGCTGAACTTGTAAACAATCACATATGCAGAAACTCCTGCCACACAGAAAATTCGACTTTCAGGACACCAATACATCATCTGAACAGCAAAAGGGTCTTCTTCCACAATTTCAGCTGTTGCTTTTCCTTCTCCTAATTTCTGTTTTTCAAACACCTTTGATGTTTTTAACTTGTACAACATCTGTAGAGTAACTGTAAAATATTAAAACATATCAAAATATTGTTTAACATTAAACAAATCAGTTACAAAATTCCTCAGAAACTATCATCTTTTCAGTTGTGACATAACAAAATCATATGAAGGCCTACAGGAAGAAAAATAGGGGTATTATACAGTATAGATATTATTCTGGTATGCAGTATATGCATTTAATATTTCCATAACGGATATTTGCCCTGTGAAGTATTTGTTAATACTTTCTGAGACAGGATGTCAAAGGTGTACCAACCATATGTCCATATTTCTGTTCATACACAGTGCTAAGGAGAGGCTGTGATACATGTAGCTGTTTTCTAGTAAGTTATAAAACAAAAATTTTTTTTGTCTGAGGTTATTCTCTTGTGAGAAAGTGGATGTATGGCACTTCAAGCGAAAAAAGTAGGAAAGCATTCTGCAGGCTGGGACAACGCAAAGATTTTCTGAAAGAACAGGAGTTTTAAAAAGCTTTGAATAATTGACTAATAAATATATCTACAGCTGTACCTATGCATCAAGCCTTAATATCCAGACGCTTTGGTGAAGACTAGAACGCCACTGCAGTGAATTTTGGAGGTTAAGGGATTATAACTAACCATATTCTGTTTTATTGACAAATCTTTTACAATTGCTCTGTGTGATTGCTCCGTAGCCATTCACTCCACTGGGGAGGAAGTACAAACTATTAACATTCTTGTCTGTTGTGTTTTACACTTTTTTGCATTAATTTATCAGTGGCATTAATTAATGACTGCATAAGGTCAGAACAACAGGCAGTCAGGCCCAGCACCTCTATGATCATATATATACATAAAAGAAAAGCTGTTACATATGTCGGTGTTATCGTGCTATATCTGTCAAGCTAGCTTCTGTAACAAACAAAAAAAGGATGGAAGAATGGTATTTTAGGTATGTAATGAGACTACAAACACAGCATAATTACATCTTCATTTTGCAGTGCAGATATATTTTAGGAGTCTTAGCATATGCATGCTACTAAATCTTCACAAATTACAGCAAGGGCTTCTGTGTAATGAATACAAAATTCTTCTGGCCTTCTGTGATGGTGGAAGAGGCCTCAAGATGCACAAAATCCCACTGATAAATCCAGGCTGGCACTTAGAATCAGACACCTTGGGTCTGTGCATACCGGGATTGGAAGAATTACAGAATTTTAGGGCACCAAAAGGACTCTATGCCTTCCTTATGCTTCTGGGAATTACTATGCACCATCTGCACGGGAACAAATATGGAAGAGCAGTGGCTTTTGAGCAAAGATAAATTTGGAAAACTGCTTCAATGGCTTTGCAACTCTGTCTCCCACAAATCTGTGCTTTGAGATACAAAATTGCACGAATAAAATATGTCTACTAACAAAGTACTTTTTGCTTTCAAGTATCAGCAGTATATTATATTTGCTGTGAATCCTCAAACAAAATTTGAACTCCAATAAAATAATTTAAATTAAAAGCTTGTAACTAGTAAGCACCAAGTACTGTACCAGTAGGGCAGTACATTATCTTGAGAAGCAGGATTGAGATCAGGACTTCAGAGATGCACGGAAAGTCCTATTACTGTTAAAGGGATCTGTGAATATTCAGAATCATCTAAGCTTTTACCTCTAGGACCAATTCCTATTGCAGCATGTACATACTGCTTAGTGGGTTATATTTATTCCTGATGATAAGGTTTTTCCTTTCCCCACTCCTGCCAGTTATTTATAGAAGGAATCACTAGTACATTGGTTCCAATGCAGCATATCTGCTAGACACTTTTACAATATTCTGTTTTGTTTCACATTAACATTAATTCCTGTTATTTGCACATTCCTGCAAGGAGAGTACATGTATGTAAGGAAATATGCACAAGACTAGGTCTAATACCTCATGCTAATTCTCTATATGCAAGTCATTACCCCCATTTTCTTTATATTAAAGCTCTCTAAAACTTGTTGACATTGTAGATAAACTCCTAGGACCTCAATACCATTTTTGGCACAAACTTTGAAGGAAATGCTATCAAGTCATTTTCTATATTACTAATAGCTTCTAAAATAGGTCTTTTAAACCTTTTCCTCTTTTTGGTGCTCACCATAACTTAGAAATGATGGACGATACAAACTCCAAGGCTGCCATCTATCTGTTTTTCTTCCATTCTCAAATAAAAAAAAAGTATAATAAAAAGTGAATTTCTAATCATGTTCAACTGGCAGGTCTATAAAAAATTCCTGTGTGCAACAAGACTTTGGAAATCCTCATTTTCTCCTTGTCCAATCTGATGAGTGAAAGGATTTGCTATTAGGTAAAAAGCCAATTACCTGGGACAGTCATCAAGTTTAGCTAACATTAAAATCTTGCATATCTTCCCCATGTTTGGATGGAATTGGTAGTACTATTACTCATGACAATTCTGTGGTACTATGTGGAAGTAGCAGGTAGTATAAATGTTTCATGCTCTGTGTTCTTTAACACTATTACAGACCAGTCATTAGGGTCAAACAACACCTCCCTGCGCCTAACATTTCACAGAGCTATTCCTTTCACATTCTCTTTTCTTGAAGAAGTGGGAAGAGACTGATACCTCGTGGAAGAGGTATTCTACTCAGAGAACCTAGGATCATAGAGGAAACAGAATACAAGGTCTCTCTACTGTAACTTCTATGAAGCACAGTTATATTATTTGAATCAAAATATTTTAAATTTCAACCAAAATATATGTATATTTTTAAGAAAGACATTTTACTAATAAGTACCATATGTATTTTCTGTAGAGGAAAAATTCTGTTCTATGATATATATAGTAAGTAATAGTCAGAATGTATGAAATGACTATTTTCTGAGGCTTCTCCCTGCTAGAATGAATGGAGACACTCTCCATTTATTTCCTGGAACTCAAGACCAGAAAAATAAAGATTTAGGTCTCCCTCCTCCCTCCACATATTCACAAATTTAATAGACACATAGATTTAAATGGATAATCTACAGCCTGATATTTGAGGGAAAAATTATAAATTAGATATGTATTAGGATGTATAATTGTATTTCAATATTTTGTTTTTACTTAGCTGTAAAACAAATATTTTGTACTCGGAATAGAAGAGACACGAGCAACGGAACTGAACACTAGATTAATTCTGCCCCCTCTTCTATACACACAACAGAATAGTGCCCCAGGAATTATTTACCACAGGTTTCAATATATCATGTCTGGAGATTTTATCATTCTCCTTGACTTTCACTGTTTTCATCTAACATATCTCACTAGCAAATTTTTTTTCCCCTTAATTTAATCAAATATTCACCTAATTTGACCTAATTATTCCAAATTTTACCATCCCAAATATTACTGCTCATGTTGTTAAATATCATATATTTATGTGACTTGTTAATATTATAGAAAAGTGAACTTCAGACACTTACTGGCAGAAGCATCCCAAAACTTTACTGATCCATCTGCATGGCTTAAAAAAAACATAACAATTAAATGTGTTAAAATAAGATGCAACTCTAAACCATTTTATACTTTCAGTGAGTGATAAATACAAAACTGCATTTTGTGTGGTAACTTTTCATACCTTATTGACAATATATAGTGATAGCCATATTAACTGCAAGAAAATATTTTGTTATTCATTTGTTTAGGTTAGTAAAATGTTTTTTGATGTATTTCCTATAAAGAACTAAACCCCCAATGAATCCAAAGATTGCAACAGCATGAACTTAATTGCCATACTAATGACAAGTGTAAGATACAGTACCTTTGGCCTTACAGTGTGCCAACATCACACCTTTGCACTGTAAAAATGCCATATACATCTAACTTTGAAAAGACAGAGGCTAACTTCATTTTTCTTAAAACCTTCCTGTGTGTTTTTTATTAATAGAAAATCATTCTTGGAGTAGAATTGGAGAAAGGATACATTTCTGTTTAAAATGAGGATAATCTCCCCTTCCTCTTATTGGTACTCTCGCAGATAAATTTTTAAAAATAGCTTTTAAGCATCATAGATTATAACAGTTTACCAAATGTATTGCTATCATCTATGCGACCAAGACTGGAGGTAAACATAGACTCCGTCATGCAAGAAGGCTGTTTTACCGGCTTCTGTTTTACAGTGTGGTGCCTTGAAAATCCAGCAGGCATTGCTCATGGGGTGGTCACTGCAACCTGAGGCTTTCTATGCCTTTTTTCTATGGGACTGTCTCTCACTTAGAAGGTAAAATTCATTCCAGTGCACCATACCATCACTAATGACGGTATACTAAAAAGAATTCCAAATCCATTGTCAATACAGAATCCCCAGGAGGTCAGAGGCGTGGAAGAAAAACTGGCCCCTTTTCTAATGCTATTCTCTGTGCCCTTCAGGGCCACAAACTTCTCTTGCAATGGACACTCCTTTCCAAAGATCCCATCTTCATAAGTTTATAGACTTGCCCTCTAGCACTGGGGCCTCAATCAGCAATTCTCACAGTAGTTCGCCCCTGAGCATTGTTTGCTGTTTTCTCCAGCAAGTGGGAATTTCTATGGTGACTCTGCATCAAGAATAAAAACTACCTACCTCAATTAAAGAGGTCCATATATGTATACTTTGACACTCTATCAAGATTCAACTCTCACTCGTAGCTAGCCCATAATCAAAAGTTGTAGACACTAACATTTTAAAAGCACAAAACTTCACTTTCATTCTCACCCTGTAATAATAATTTCAGGATACGTCTGTGCTCCAAGGTTCCATGCTCCACCACTGACTGGCCACTCCTAAGCAAAGGACAAGAACACAGAGATCACAACCAATCCGGAGCCTGGACTGATTAATTTTTGAACTCAACAGTTGACAACATCTTCTTCCACAAAGCAATACAGCTCATATAAAGGAGTAAAGATGTGTAACATTAGAAGTGTTTAAAACTTATTAGCATTTTTATATTATCGATTAAAGTTCTATATTTTTAAAGATTTCTGCACATCTACATGGGAAGGTGAAATACAGCTTTAACACTGCAGTGATTCGTAATAGAAACTAGAGGAAGGAATAGCAAACAATCCTGCCACTTTTTTCATAGGGGTTGACTCTTGGAGCTTGTATAGGACACTGAACAGAACTGAGAATCAATTTTGAGCATAAGGACTACTGAAGATGCTGACCCAGAAAAGTGGGAAACAACTATCCAAGCATAATGTAATGGGATAAAAGATGAGGGAACGAGACTCTCACAGAATATATGAAATCATTACCCCTTCTCTGCCTTTTGTGTACTAATGGCAAGACTCCTACTCTCTTTCTGGGATGAGGCTGGTAGAGCAAAATGTGGAGGATGACATATGTGCAGAGTGGGTGAGGATGCGTGGAGAGTATAAGTGGGTGGAAAAAACTGGGAGCAGAAAGCGGTTATGTGAATATAGGGAATGGATGTGTGGGGGCATGGGTGGACGGCGTCAGTGGTGGGCTACATTCACAGGGTGTATTTGTGTGTGCAGAAATAAAGCAAGTGGACAAAAGAGTGTACAATGAACACAGGTAGGTGGTGAAAAGTTTGGGAAGTTATGCATACAAAACAAAGATAGATAAGCAGACAGGATGAAGTGAGAGAAAAAATATTCTCTGAAGTGCTTTGCTCAATTAATATCCAAAAGAAATACACAGGGTCCAATCTCTCAGTTCATGGAAAACCAGGCAACTCCCAGAATACTTCTGTTCCTATGAATAGAAAACTGATGATAACTCTGATTCGTTTACCCAAAGTTTTTCTGAATTATTTATGATGGATTCATTCTGATCAAAACATATACCAGATTAATGCTTGAAATCTATAAAAAAATAGTATTTCCTCTTTTTATTTCTGCAGCTGGTATTATTTCTAAAATCATTTCATTAAGACTTTAGTAGCTCAGTAAAATAATTATTAATATCTCCTTTTAATAAAAATGTGAACTCTCAACTTCCACTGAAGCTCTTTGCTAACTTCATTCAGTCGTAATGATTTTAGGTGCTACTTTTTTCTTCTAGTAGAGAAGTGTAGGTGCTTCTAGTAGAGATAGTGTATTCAGATAAGTCTGCGGTTTAAACTGACGGTATTTCTTTAACACAATCTGAATTGGCATAACTTCAGCAGTCACATCATTAAGTCCTATATAACGGTGGTTAATGATTATACTTAACTGATGGTGTTTCAGAGGGACAAATATCAGCCCACAAGCAACCACAGAAGGAAGACCGCCCGCAGCCTCCTCTGCCCTTCCCAAATAGGCTCTGTGGCAGCTGCCTTGATGCTAAGCTCTTGCCATGTATCGTTCGAGGTACTAGATGGGCACAGGCTGCCTGAACACCCACAATCTGTTTCCTCTGAGGAAAAACACTAGGTGCGTTCAAGTATATCTATCTCTACAGGTCATAGTCAGCCTCTGAGCTGCTGGCTGGACCAACCTGGAAGTGATTATTAAAGAAGCAGCAGAATGAAAAAAATTCAGCAAGGTATTCCAAAAGTGTTACGTTGTATATCTAGTTACACTTTCTTCATTTCAAACAATATTATTTTTGTTTACCTTATTGCTGTATCCTTGCTTTTTATGTTTTGCTCCTACAGAATAGAGTACAGGAATCAAATCTGGAGGACAGTCGGCAAAATACTCTGTGCAGGTAACAGGTGACTCATGAATGTCAATGGGATATGGATTTTCAAAGATTGGAAAACTAGTCAAGGAAGACAATTTATTAGAACCACTGTGACACACTGAGGCATATAAGAAAACATATTCTTCTACTAAAGTATATAAAATAATCTAGGTAAAATTATTACTAATAAATCATACTTTACCTTAGTCCTGCAAAACACAGGTATTGTTCTTAATATCAATAATAATGTGTAGTTATTCATTTTGGGATGCAAAAATTCTTGTACTACGATAAGAATCCTCTTATTGCAATGTAAATACCCATTTACATTTAATTTTTCCCAACATCTCAAAATTTTATTTAAGAAATACAGAGGTTATACATTTTCTAGAAGCATCCTATTCATGCATATGACCTATGTCATGACCTAAGAATTACCTAGATATTTGTGGATTTTACATCAAACGTTTTTGTGTTGATAGACTACTGATTCTACAATGAACGTTACCAATAACAGCTGAAGTGGATCTCTGTTCATTTCTCACTTGCACCATTTTGGACTGTCTGATCAAAGGGATGGCCCCACTCTAGCAGATTACACAATGCCATTCATAATTCAAAAACGCAGAAAGCCTGATTCTGATTTCGATTACAACCATTTTATACTGCTGAGATGATTTGAATTATTCTTGAAAGTGAGTGAGATCAGAATGTGATTCAGTTAAAATGTTTTTAAGATGTTGAGGGCAAAAATCTGTTCTTAGTTATACCAGTGTGCATGTGGATGTACATAATCGGAAGTGTTGGAGACGTAACAAAATAAGAATCGGATCCTGCATTACATAATGTGTAGTTCCGCTTTCACAAGAATATTGATCCTAGAGTGAAAGAATTACTTGCCATTTAAAACAGCAACTGGATTATGAAAGCATCCCATAGATCCGTCGGTATAAATCAATGCCATTGTTTATTAAGATGCCTGAGTAAATACCTAAGCGGTAGTCCCTGCAGAGTCTAGTGAAGTTAGACATGCATAAAAATACATGTTGAATCTGGTTTCCAACACACAAATTTAGGTCACAATTCAGCACGTGCACGTATGAGGTCTGTGCAGGCTTAGATTTATTCCTAAACTTAAAAAATATATTATCAGATTAAGTGCTAATCTATTATAGAGTAAGTGCTAATCTATTAAAACCTTCGCTTCTAAGGTGGAGGCAAACATACAGAATTATCACAAAGAATGACTAACTTTGGATAGCAAAATGACATCGTATGATAACATTTGGTCAGATTTTTATCTGCTAACTTCTTATAAGACTTCATACTTACTTGCTTTGTGTCAGGTCAACAACAATGAGATCTTTTTCCAAAAGCACAACCACAGCATAGGGTTCTTGAAATTCTGTAAATGAAGAATCAAGTTTAAAAAACATGGAGTTCTCCTATTAATCATTTTAAATAAACAAGTCAGGTTTATAACCTCTAAACACTCACAGTATATTAAACAAAAGATTTGAGATAGAAATCATACAATAACTAGACATACCTGCAAACTAGAAAGCATTTGATTAGGGCCAGATCGGAACTAAGAGGAGAAATGACTTTTGGGCAGTGCAGCTGATCACCATATGTGGCAGAACCCTAATGGCATATTATAGCATGCCAACATGATGGCAAATTGAACATAAAGAAATAGAACATGTGGAAGTTGTGGTATTACTGCATCACTGAACCAGTTACTACACAGAAAATGTGTCTTCACTCTCCAATACTAATACTTTTCTGTGTACAACTGTTTCTCCAAAAATAGATTGTGAGCAGCTGGTCGGGTCTACCTGATGATACATAATGCGCTCATTTCCAAAGGAATTCCAAAGGAAAATGTTCTCTAGACCCTAATTTTAACAATAACAAGAGAAAGCTGAAGAAACAACATGACAGAAGTATCCTGGAGAGCTGGCACATGATCCAATAGATGCATGTGTGTTTCAAACAAAGCTGGGGTGGGGAGAGCACCCATGTCAGACTGAGAGCATGAAGAGCAGAACTGTTCCTTGTCCAGCTAAAGAACAAAGCTGCGCTTGAAGTGGTGGACTGTGATCTCTCAGCAGCTTTTCTTTTGCCAGAGAGCATTTTTACCTAAGTTTTGTCTTCTGCTGGCATTCAAATTATGGAGCTATCAAATATAACAGAGTTGATTTTTGCTTTTTAAATACTGATGAGTTCTGCTGAGTTCAACAGAGACAGTACCACTGGAGAAATACATTTATAATCTGTTCTACATAATTATTTATGACTTTTTCCACAGCACACATATTTTATAATAATAGCTTACACAATCTAAACTGCTTTACAAAGCTAAGTAATTGCTGTAATACTCTTGTAAGTTATGTTCAATTCAGATGTCATGTTCCTTACTCCCATACTCTCTTTGGCAGATTATATAGTTGTGTTCTGTTCTTCATGCTTTTTTCCCTTATCATAAACAAACATTTTTAGATTGAAAAGACACTTGTATATGCTCTTTTTCATGCACAGGGTACCCCTGTGTCAATAGTGTAAATATTATTTTAAAAATTATAAATATAAAATCAAGACTATCAGTCAAACAGCAGCAAGCCATTCCAGTATGTACAGGCTCACATTACACTCATCAGATAGCTGATGCCAAAAGACTGAGTAAACTGATTGATTTACTGCCATTTCAGGCCTGTTATGAACGCACATCATTTAATAGCCTCATACCAGTCTGCGAATAACATAGGTTAAATCAAAAATTTAAATATTTCTGTGTAAGCTGAGGGAGGGGCTATACATTCTTAATATTGGAAAGTATCACTGCATTTGCCATAAGTAAATGAAAGTCAACACTCACTTTGACTACTGAAAATTAAATTTATTGCATGACATTGAAATGAAAAGGCACTTTATCTTTATTAATTGTTTTTAATATGCATTTGATTTAGCTATATATAAAAGACTGACTTTACTTCTCTGCCTGAGGACTTAAAATGTTAAACTTATTTTCTTTCTGGCTTACAGCTTTTCTTATTTTGGTTTCTGGAATTTTCTGTGAATTTACTTCAGAATGTAGCTGTCCAACAATATGCGGAAAAACACTTAAAGAGCTGAATTCAGGCAGATGAGTAAGAATCTATTTAAGTATTTTGCAGAAAAGTGATAATTTAAATTTAAATAATTTACCAATCTATAGATTTCCAGCCTCATGAGAAGTGTCAGAAATATAAGCACATATATCTTATTAATAGCAATATTTCCTCACACTAGTTCATGTGTTTCAAGCTTATATTTGGAGATCATTGCAGGCTTTATTGTCCATTCATTACTTGTTTCCAATGTTAAGAATGCAAACAGGTTCCAGTTACTTTCAGTTATGGTTTTGTTTTGCTTTGGTTTTTTTTTTTTTTTGAGACGGAGGCAACTGTCAGAATGGAAGACCTCAGTTCATTGAATACAATTAAGACATTAAGGTTTGAGAGAAGATCACTTCATTTACATTTTCTATGACTGTGTTTTGCTTAACGAACTCACCATTTGGATACGGAGTTTCACAAAGAGTTAAAAAATCAACTATAGGGTGATCCATTTCAAGAACTGTAATCGCTTTCCCATGCATGATGGTTAGACTTGGTCTTCTACAAGCTTTGTCATATGACAGTCCACCAGAAAATATCACAAACGGTTCACTGTATTAAAAAGCAAAACATGGCAACTATAAATTTGCATTGCAGTAGTACCTTTTAAATAAAAATAGCTTTGCAAAAAGAAAAAGATTCTAAAAGTACTTTATTGACTCAGGAATTTAACTCAAGTTAATTACACAGTTGAAAGGATCCAGTCCTTTGTCAAAATACCTGTTGACATATTGAAGTTCCTTCTATTTAAGGTAAGGTCTATTATGAAAGTGACTGCTCTAATGCAGCTGCAAATTTCATATCGTTTACAACTGTTTTGTTCTATGCTTATGTTTATGTTTCTCCTCTCCTCCTCCACTTTTTTTCTGTAAGGTTTTGGCTAATTTCAACCAAATTAGACAGACGAAGTTTCCAAACTACAAGCCCTATGAAAATTGTCAACCAGATACAGCTGACAGATCTATAAATATCTTGAGAGAAAGGTGGTGAGGTGAGCTCATTCCTTATCAGGTATCTGAAAGTCCATATAGGTGAGATAACTTATACAGTCTGTAACCACAGCAAAAATTTAAAACAGTTGGTTTCTTATTCAACAACAAAGTCAATTCCTCTCAAGGCAAGTCTGTTCCACAGATGATAAAAATAACTGATTGCTTTTTAGAATGAAAACTTATCTGAGCTTTTCAAAATTTCTTACAGAAAAGAAAACCTTACTTTGACCAAAAGCAGATTTAGACCTACAACGCAGAAGTCCTTTTCCTGAATGCCACTTTGTGTCTATCTTTCTACACGATCTTGGTGAACTTCCCCAGGCTGCGATGGCCCAGGCAACCTTCCTTAAACATTTCACTCTTTGAAGCACTCTTTGAAGAGGGCTTTTCAAGAAAAACAGTGTAAGCTCAGTGGCATTTGAAGGGCTGAGAGTTGATGAAGAGGTATGTGGCTGAACTTGATACAATGCTGCTCACTGTACGCTCATACTTGGCAAAAACATCAGTCCTATGAAGGGACTTTAGTGAGGCCAACAAGGAAGCTGGGGGGGTGCCAGCAAAGGATCACATGAACGTGACCATGCTACACATGAAGCTTAGGCCAAGCCCTCCCCCTGCCTAGGATAGATGAGATCTGTGCATTAAACGGGTGCCTAATCTTTGAGAACCATAAACTATACATCACTGGTCCTAAAAATCTCATACATGATTTTTAAATAAATTTGGAACATTATATACATTCTCACAAGAAAAAGAAACACTTCATTTCAGACTATTTAGTACATTGTATAAGAAAGCTTAATAGTTATTAATACTTACACTATAACCTTATTTTACCTTAAGTTTTGCATTTAAAAAACAGCTTAAGTTTTAACTAAAATGAATGTAAAACATCATTTCAGAGCACAAACTGTGAAAGTAATTTTCACGGGCTACGTAGAAACTTGACTTGGATGACTTCTTCATGCCTGTATTTCCATTCTATGATCAAGATAGAGTGTTTCCATATTGAGAGTAACTAGAAAACAGCAGCACTGGAGGCCACAACTGAAGTTTACGTCATACATTTGCATGACCTGCAGCACTCTGTAAATGCGGTTTGCCAGAGTAGGTCTACTTTACACGTAGCATGCCCTTATGAAGGGTTTTGCCTAGACTTCACCTACAGAGGAGGAAATCATACCTGTTTTTACAGGTCTTGTACTCTACTTTTAGAATTGGTTTACAAGATTCAGTTTTTTTTCCATCTCTCTGAATTTTTCCTAAGGAAAGAAAGAGGGTAAAAACTTTATTAAAACATGATTATAACTGAACTATCAAACTAAAATATACACGGTGAAGCAACTGTTTAGCAGCAAGAGAATGGAACTTTAAAGCTATAGAAGATGATAAGAGTATTAACATCTATTTCCCTAAGATATGAATTTTGCTAAATTACACTTACCATGGCTTTAAGTTTTTACTGCCACATATGTCTAAAGGACTACAGGCCACACTTTAAAGACTTCTGAAAACCATCCGGGTTACTGGCAGGATGACGCTCAGCTAATAATTAATGAATCTGAACAACTGCGTACCTCTTAATTTTTTCCTAAGTCATTCTTATTTTGACACAATTCCCTTTGTTGACAAAATTTATATACTCTGGACTGTGACCAAGTCAGTGATAAAATTAAATGAAACTTAATGAATGAAAATTAATTGAAATTCACAGGTTCTTGATTGGTTATGGCTCAGTACTGTCTTTCAGTCAGAGAAGAACCATTTGTAAACCAGAACATTAGCAATTATGTTTTCATTGTTTTGGAAGACTTAAGCTTGCTTTCTACAACAACCTGATTGGAGCATACAGAGAAGACTGACCTAAACTCTTCTTGAAGATGCACAAGGATAGAACAAGAAGCAAAGGACAAGCTGGAACATGGGAAAATCTCTTTAGAATTAGGAAAAGAAAATGGTACCATGAAGGCGATTAAACACTGGAACAGAGTGCTCAGCGAGTATGTGAAATATCTGTCCTTGGAGGTGTTCAAGACTCAACTGGACACCACTTTGAGCAACCTGATCTAATTGGGCCTATTTGGAGCTGGAAGTTAGACTAGATGACCTCTGAAGGTCTCTTCCAACATAAGTTATGATTCTATGTCTCTAAAAATGATAAAACAAAAGCAATTGGGAAATTCAAGAAAATATATAAAACTTCTCTGGGCTGCACAGATTTCCCTCCTGCCCCAAATCAGGCTACTTTCTAATGCACTGATTTACAATAGAGTTAATAGCCTTTCACCTTGATATGAAGTAATGGCAAATAAAGTCCCAGTCATAAGAGATAATAGCCATTTCTTAATACGGTTCATTTAAATTTTTTATTGCAGTGACTTGCGAAGTCTTGTACCACCTCTATAACAAGCAACATCCTACCCTGCACAAAGTATACTACTTGTGAAAATTCCACATACTGAGCACAAAATACAAAAGCACAAAATATATAAGAAAAAAAGCTTGAAAATTCTGTAGTCTGAGGACATCAAAGATTAGTAGGGGACTACTAAGATGTAAAGGTCAAAAGAAGACATTAGAGCAACATTACCCAATAAGAAGCATTTATGACACTCTGACAGAAAACAAAACATGTTTGATGAAAACTATCTGCTTTTCATAATATTTTGCAGCTACTTTGCAGATTAGAAATATTTATATGAAAAGTAACTCTTCATTTGGGCTCCAGTAATGAAAAAAAGAAATAAATATAGATATTAGCAAATATCATAGGCAATGTTGCATTGCTTCTTTGTTATACATTTTAGTTAACAAAATTACCATGTGGAATTGTGGTCTGGAATGGTCTATTAGGACTTTTCAGGTTCCAGAGGGTCAAGCTGCCATCAGAGTGACTGCACATGAACTGTTTCCCTTCATGGTGCCAAGCAACAGAATGAATAGCCTATAGAAATGGTAGAAGAAGTCAAGGTGGAATACAGCATTTACACAAATGATATTTCAATGTGTGACTTTGGACTATCTTTATCCAATGGTATATCAACAGCTGGGTGGTTCTTGTTTAACCAGAATTCATTCAGAACTGTTTAGTAGCACATGACTGTAATTAGCTGCTCATCAAGCAAAAAAATCAACTATAAATGCTAACACAACACAGGAATGTAAGAAAGCCTGTACTTGGTCAGACCAAAACGGCAGCAACAGGTTAAGGGAAGAGTATAAGAAAAAGGGATATACAGTGCAATCATTACATTTCTGATAGCTCTCCTTAGGATTATTTTACTGGGCAAACGTACAGGAACGCCGTGTAACAAGTTTTTGTGGGTAATATACAATATTCCCAGAAGCTTCCCCAGAAGACTACTTAGGAAAAGCAGAAAGAGTACTTTGTTCTTGAATCTCTTTTTTTCTACATTCTTCAGTTTCTGAGTGAGTACACAGAAAAATGGGATGTTTAGGAATAAAAACAAAAAGTCTAAAGTGATCAAGACTGTTTCATTGATATAGAAAATTAACAAACAATAACATAAGATAATTTTGAAACTGGCAGTGCTTCAGAGAATGGGAATCTGGCACTCCTATGTACATAATGTAAGTGCCTTGTAATGAATAATAAGTATACTGAAAAGCAACACTTTTAAATTAATAGAACATTTTTAATATCTCATGCACAATTAGTGAAATTGACTGGCACAAGATTTCAGGAAAAAAGGATGAGACACTTAGAATAAATAATAAGACTACTTCCAATTGCATCAGATAAGCTCGAAAGATAATAGACACTAACAAAAGACATTTCTGACAAGAACAAAGTTTTGTCTCATTGAATACCAGCTTCTCCCACACTCCCCTTGGAAGCACTTGCTTCTGGTACTGAAAGAAGCAGAACACAGTACAGGGTGGAACGCTTGTCTGATTCAGGCCAGTCAGTCTTACGAACTATTTCGGCTGAACACTGATGTGGAGAGAGAGGCAAGATGAAGGAACTGTGGCTTTTCTTAAATTTGGGATTCTTCAGCATAATCCACCACTTGGCAGGGAGGTGTGCCGAAGGGAAAAATTCCTATTTGTCTTTGGTCCCACTACTATGTCATGTGAGGTGCTATCTTGTCTTGATATTTATCTTTTTCATCTATATTCAACAATTCAGTGACAAAAAATCCTTCCATTTTCTTAGAATTTGATTAACATTAAACACAATTACTTTGGCATAATCTATTGGACATCTCATTTAAAAAACAGGTTAATCTATGTCTAAAATAACTGACGCGCCACTAATTCAACAGAAAAGGATGACAATGTCAGCTGCAGAGTCTTATGCAAGATGAGAACATACCGTAAAAACGAGATAAGGGTAAATGAAACAAATAATGGAAAGATGAGATAGGAAGGGAACAGAAAGAGCAAATGAGTTCACAGAAGTGAAGGAGTCAAGAATGGTCCTTAAATAATGACTATGCAGCTTGAAGAGGCAAGTGTGTGAAACTGGAATGATGCAATTTGTGCTGGAGTTGAGAATGATAAAAGAGTAAAAGTCAACAGGGAAAAGTCTGGAGAGAAAAGGACTAGTACAAAAGTTAAGACCTACAACTAAGATACAAACAGATAATGTAAGTAAACAGAATGCCATTTCACACAGAGATTGAAGAGAGCATTTTCTTTTTTAGATATTTTGCTTAAACACATTGAAAGTTAGAGATCCAGAAGCAAAAAAGCAGAATCTTAAAAAAGTAAATAGCTTACTGGAAAAAGAAACCTGTGCAGATACAATTCTTTTCTGAGGCCTTATACATAGTTTTTTGCAAGAAGCACTATAACTGTCTCTGGATCGCTTGGCAAAACAGGAAGCAAAGGAATTCTAAAAGCAATTCTCTTAAGTAATTTATTTTGCAAGCCATAACTTGAAACTTGCAGAATTTTCCCTGGAATACATTTTCCTTCCAGAAATACTAGTTGCCAAGTAGCACAAAATACAATGTATTTTTATGTAAATGTGAATAAGTGAGACCTATTTTTGAATGTAGTTCAATGAATTTTCATTTTTGCACTCCAGGAAATGCTAACACCTTGTGTACACTTACAGTTGCGCATGAACTTTTTACCTGCTTTATTCAAAACATTTTAAAATCATGTCTGGATAGTCCTAAGCCAGTGCTGGAATTGTTCATATCAGTTTTGCTTAAGCTGATAAGGAATTATCTTAAATGCTGCTGGGTCACTATTCAAAACTCCCTGTTGATCTTACTCTTTTAATAAGTATATTGATTGGTATGGTTGGTAAAGTTTGATGGTCGGGAGGTGATTTCAGAAGAAATCAATGAAAAGGCTATGACCCCTTCCCAGAACTTTACTCAGCACTTGAGGCTGGAAAGCATATCTGCAAATGAGCCTTGGCAGTAAGATGTTCCAGATGCTGCTACAGGAATCTGACATGCCTTGTATCTGAACACTTTGCCAACGTGCTGATAAGCCAGTCACACCAATAAAGACACAACAAACTGAGCTGAACAAGGGGAACTAGATATTTAAGTGAAATAACAGGTGTCACTGAAACCTTCTACTTACCAGAGCAGGGTGGGCACAGAATTCCTCTTAAAGACTCAGAAGACACCACAGCAAGTATTGAAGCAACAAATGGTATTACACGAAGGTGTGTTACCACGCACAGCCCAATGCCGTTTCTCTCAGGTAATAAGCTTAGATCTGTAGGGAGTGCTGCTTCACTTATACTGAAGGCATGTCTATACTTGTGTAAATTAATTCTGATATGAGCTCATTCATGCTTGCTTTCATGTCAAATCGGAATCCACTTTTGATGCGTTATCACACATAGAGGCATTTCATGTGGTTACAGTTGCTAACTAGCAGCTAAGAAGCCTACCAAGCTGCTGGTTAAACTGCCTCTCAGCTGCTAGGTGCAAACCGCCATCATAAACCTCCTGTTGAGTGGAGCTGAGGAGGAATGCTCCCACAGTCACAGACGGTTGGCTTAGCAGCAACTCAAACTCACCTGTTAGATTTTCCTCTAAAATGGGCAAGAATTGTTTAGAACTGGTTTTGGAGGTCTCACCTGGGAGTCACGACTGACACTGAAAGGTGGTACAGAACAAGTTCCTAATTTTCTCTCTGCTAGAATACGCCTAGCATTCTGATCCGCTCCTGTAGCATTCACATAAAAAAGGAGCAGTTGCTCACTAAGAGGAGTTTGTCACTGCCTGTGACTCATGTGTCTGTTCGCACAGTACATACACATAAACTTTATCACTCTAGATTGGATATATTTTTCCTTCTGCAATACCCACAATAGTTGCATACATATTCCATCTTCTCTCATACTCAGCATGTACTAACACCATTTCAGTTCCCTCCCAAGCACAAAACTCCAATTGATAAGAACTCAAAAGGGACTCCAGAACCTTTTTTAACCATACTTGAACAAGTACCACACTCATTTCATCATATTACTTTAGTCTTAAGAATCCTTTGTGTTAGTAGTACTGCAGGACAATTATACAAAGGGCCACATCAGATTTGATATGTCCATAATGGCATAGTGCTTGGTAAAGGTAGGGAAAAGTCATATGCAAAATGTCTCTGAGGCCTCTATAGCTTCATTTTGGAGATGTGTTCAGAGGAAAGATGACGACTATGCTTTAGAAACCTCAGAATATGTTTTGACACAACTTGTCAAACATTTAAACAATCTGCATATGAAGATGGCTGTTTCTTTGGGTCTGCCAACTTTCAACAATAACTTGCAGAGTCTTTGAAGGATCTGGCTTCTGTATGCACTCTCTCCCCCAAAGTTTCCTCTCTCTGGAAATAAACTTTTGAAGAAATTTAGAAAAGGGTTTGCAAGGGGAGCCTTACATAGAGGGCATAACATAGGAATATTGATGGAAAAGGCCTGAATATCTCACACTCAACAGATAAGATTGCCACTGGGAAGATGGGAATCATCATCACACAAAAAACCCAAGAAACTTGGTGCTGATGACTCAAAGAACAGACACTAGAGTCTTTAACAGCAGGTTCAAGCTCTACTGTGGCATCAGGTGTTTCACAAGTGAGAACATTTCAGTTAGCCTCTTGAGCAGTTTTGAAACGGTAGAGGAGAATTCATAAAAACTTCCTGCACCATGAGCTGATGCAGCTTCTAACCAGACTTCAGTTGGGCTAAAAGACAGTCAGGACTACTTTTAGTAACTCTAGTGAATAAGTCATGAATATCAGGAAGAAGTTTTAAAGAGAAGATACGGTTTACAAGAACATCAAGCAGAGAAGTTCCAGATAACGTACTTGTACAGCCTTGGTGAGAACCTCCCTCACTTGAAATGAGCAGATAGACATAGAAAGCTATCCAGCCTTCATAACATGAAGTATAGCACAAATAAGATGGAATAGGGAAAGGAGCTGTTAAATGCTGCAATAGCAGGTTTGTGAACAGGGGCAGAGTCCTCTGGTCCCTGTTTGCTATTGGGTTATCTCAGTGAGGACTTTATTCTAGCGGTAGTGTGTCCATGACATTAATTTGATGGGAAAGAAAAAGAAAGAACATGCTTCTGCAAGCACAGCACAGATTCTGCTAATATTGTAGGGAACAACTCACTTTCCAGTGAAAAAAAACCCCACGTGTTGAGGAGACGTCTGCAATACACACCACAGGTCCAAGCCCGTAAGTCTCATGTGATGTGAAGCATCACACTGGTATGACAATGCGTGCAGCCTAGAAAGGACAGACAAGATTTCATAGTGGTGAAGGCCGAATGAATGGAGAGCCCTTATCTATTGATGATCCCTTTGTTTGCCAGCTATCCAAATGCTGAAATAAAGAGGACCTGTTCCATCTGAGCTGAGCAGCCACTACTTCTAAGATCTTGTTTAAAAAAAGAAGAAGAAGAAGAAGAAGAAAAAACACTCAACATGGTGAAAAATCTGAATGGAAGAGATTGTTTTTATTTGATTGTTTCTGACTGACAATGAAATGAAGGCATTTCTTGTAGCTGTATGAAAGCAAGCATCTTAACAGTCAAAAGATATGAAACTATTCCTGTTTTTAATAATTGAACAACAGTAGATATGGTCCCCATCTTGAACTTAAAAAAGAAGAACATTTAGATTTGCAGACACACAATGAGCTGCCAGCCTCCCTTCCTCTTCAGTATCAGAAAATATCTGCTGTTAACTCCTTGCCCTTGTGCTGCATCATAATTGAGTCTACAAATCTGAGTAACAAGAGAGAGCCTACTTCTCAAAGTCTGGTTTGGAGGAGACGGGGACTCAATGCTGTCAGGGTAAAACAGGAGAACTGTGAAAGGATGAGTATGAGGATGGAGTCTTGAGGGTGCTTACATCTGCTCCAAGTGTCATTACTAGGATGGACAACTACCTGAAGAAGGTGACAGAGAAGAACGAACTTGCCTTGGTGCTGAAGGCTCACGGTGCATCAAAGAGAACAGGATAAATCGTTTCTCACAGTACATATTAAGTGCCCCTTGATGGAGAAGGGCCAGGAGAATTTTTGACACTAAACCGAAGTATCTGCTTCACTGATGAGCCAGATAAAGCTGGTGCCACCTGACTGTCCTTAGAGATGCCACAAGAGGAAGTGGCGAGTTAGACAAGATACCCAGATCTTTCACTGTCAAATACAGTGACTACATTAGTTGAAAAACTGGTGCTAAAGAAAGCATATCACTAACAAGAAAAGCAAGGCTGGATTAATTTCATTCAGACCCTGCTCAAAAAAGCATTCAGTGAAGATACAGATCATGTACAGCACTTTACCTGAGACTTCACAGGTATCCTGAAATTGCTGGCTGGCTGAGTCTCAGAAGAACAATTCTGAAAGACTGATCAGAGCTTATAGGGCACAGAGCCCTTGCATCACTCCGTATAGAATGGTGAAGGGGAGCAGGAAGAGTGTTTTTAGATCCTAATCTTAGGTGACCAACTTGTAAGAAGAGGCCTAGGGCTCCAAACTTGGGTTGGTGTCAAGTACGAGATGGCACATGCTGAACTAATCTGTTGTGGCTCACAAAAGCTATATACCCCAGAATTTTAAAAGGAATCCCTTTTCTAGCAGATCTGGAACATTGTAAGACTTGGTTACAAATGACAAGAAACAACAGTCTGATCAACGTATGAGAATAAAATACTGAAATTCTTTTACTCAGATCTTGACTACTAAGTATTATGAATAGCCCTACACAGCAATTTGCCTTTCACACTAATTAATGTACCGGCAATATGTAATAAAGCTAATAAAATTCCTAATTTAGCTGTTTCTCAGGGTCAGCTCCCTACTACATTCTGCTAAGAGCGGGAATCCCCACAGAGACGCTGATAAACTTTTTAGAACCCAGGGGAGGAGACTCTCTGTCTTAGTACACTCAAAAGAGGCTAACACATTAGAATTAGAGATCTCAAGATTTCATCTCTATTGTTGATAACTCATTCAAAAGCAGAGCACAAACAGTATTTCCAGAACAAACAGTGCCTTAAAATAAATAGCCATCTGCTAGTTAAAACATGTGACAAGCTGCTGAATAGTATTTTTGCTGAATTAATGGAAATTGCTTACCTCATCATAATAAGCTCTCAAATCAGCTCTTTTAGAGCGTAAGTCCCAGAATACTACAGTCCCATTTTCATAGCCTATCAGCAGCTGGAGGAGGGAAATGAACACAATTACGGTTTCAGAGTCAAACGGTATACACAAACATTTAACAACTTCATGATTTTAAGACATTTAAAAAATATATGAAGACTATAAAAAGAAATGCCAAACTGATGTGCAAGATTGTAGTTTACACTACGCATAACCTGCTTTCAAATTATCTGACAATTCAACTTCTGAAATAGAAGAAAAATAACATGCTTTATACATTTCCTTTTTTTCTGCAAGATTATGTGACAGGCCCGTCCCCACAATTTATTATCTGCTGAGAAATTATGAATGAAGGGCGTTCCTCTTGGCTGTTATCTTCCTTGTCTCCTGATTGGAGAGAAAACTGCTCGACACCTAAGTGATTACTTAAATAACGCCAAATGAAAGAGTCACTACATTAAACTCTCACCGAGCTACAGATATTCTGTTTTCTGCTGTTTTAAAAAGATTCTGAAGATGAAACTCTTGCAGAAAATAAGAAACGACATATCTTCCTCTGAACTGAAAATAAACAAACCAGTAAGTCAATTTTCACTTCTTTTAGTACTAGTATGTCCTATAAACACCCACAATTGAGAAACAGAAGTAATAAAGACTTGCTTAAAGAGGAAAGAGAAGAAAAATAATGATCAGGAGAAAAAGAAGAATGAACAAATGAACACAGTGCTTTTTCCTGGTCTGTACTAAAAGAATCATATTATTGGTTGGCTACAGTATTGAGTACTGTTCATATGAACAATATATTTCCACAGTAACACAGTTAGTTTCAGTTCTTATGGAAAATGTGAAGTTTGGCCTATTTAGGTGCCCTGCAGATTGCTTCTCATAGAGTCCATCTTCATAAGAACCTGTCCTGGACATGAAGATTCTGGGAATGACCAAATTGGCAGGCTCACAGATTTCTATTGTGGACTATTTTATACACCTAGCAGTGATAATTGCAATTGTTCTTTGTCCATAAAAACACGGATCACAGAATACAGGGAAGAATTTAGAGTTTCAATATTAAGAATTTGAGCAGAAGAGCAACAAGAATATTTCTTAGTCTATGAAACCTTATCAGCATCTTTGCAATAATTTTAGCTTGCATAAGTCATAAAAAAGAAACTTTACTGGATTGAAAAAAGTGATGTTTTGTGTAGCAAGATAAATATCATTAATGCATAAACACCAGTGCAACAGAATCCGGGAATTTTCTCAGACCTACTAGATGCAATTCTTTATATTGTTGTGAGAATATTTGTTATAAGAAGATGCATTACATAATCTGGGAATGATTTGCAGTTTAAAAATTTAGTGCTTGAATACGAATGATATCTCATTATTTAAGAATTCTGCTCCTGACCAAAATTCAAACTGTGCTGGAAAAATTCCACACATTCCGTGATTCCGCAGCAGAGTAAATGTGAAAAAACATCCTGTTCAGACAGCACAGAGTTAACTAGATAGCACTGGTGTCAGGATGCCATACAGTATTTTGGGTTAGTAGATTCGCACTGGGAGAGTGAACAAAGAAGGGTCTTACTGCAATTTCTTCTACTGCTATCATAGCGATCCTGGCTGGAAAACTATTACGTTTCAAGGAGTTAGATGATTGACATTACAGTTAACCTGAGCAGGTGCAGGCCTGTGCTGTGCTGTGCCGTGCCATGCTGTAGTGCACACAGCACTTGGCCTTCAGGCCTGTGCGGTGCTGCACAGATCCTGTGGCTGCACGATAAACTCAGTTGGCTAAATCATACCAGAGGAGCCTGTAGGCAGCTCCCACTTGCTGCTGTGTCCCACTACACCATCTGTGTGTCCTTGTCTTTATCTTAAAGTAAAGTAGCAGGTTTTCATGTGAACACCCTTTTGCTTGACAGCAGAAATGATGAATAGAATTGTTTTGTTCTAAGAAAACGCTGTAAAAGCTCTAAAGACCAAAATGCTGGTGAACTTCTCCACAGATGAGATTGGGACAGCATGCTGTGCCCTGATTGGAGGTCTGTCTGATGATGCACACCTTGAGGTTCCCAGCATTTGAAGGGATGTAAGATTATCTATCCTCTTTTTCCTTTTTTTGTTTAGTTCCAATTAACGGTATTTTAATCAGTACCTTATGGAGTCTGAATGCCTTTCTGACTGAGATCATAATGAACACTAGCACTGGTGCACTACAGCTGGGTACCAAATGAGAGTTGAACTGAGTTCACATCTGCCAGTATTCTTCCCTCCTCAGCTTTTGTACAAACGTAATCAGGAAACTGAAGGAATAGAAAAACATTTAATATGTGACCCTGCTTTATAATAAATCTTTCTCCCTGGTGAAGCTGGCTTGTCTTTTGATTGTTGTTATTCTCTTTTGCAAAGATATTGTGCTCCAGGTAATTGCTATAAGGCCAAATACCTCCTTTCAGAGACAGCCTTCCACCTGATCTGCTGCTGAAATACTCAGCACACAACAGCGCTACAGAATCGCAAGATACAAAGTGCTGTAAATTCAAGGCAGAAGTCCACTGAAAGACGAACAGCTCTGCTACATTGCTGGGAATCTCTCATCTGCTCAGATATGCCATTGTAGCCGTGCTGCTTAACTGATCATGTGTTGGTATGACAATAAAGTCAGAACTCCAACAGAGTGAATGTAATTAGTCTCATCTCTAGCAGATTTATGATGGTCTGAATTCTGACCTGTCTGGACCATAGAAAACCCTGACGTTCTCATGCCTCTTGGTCATGATAAGCACTTGAGAGATCTATAAGAAAATCTTCATGTCTGTAATATTTAACTCAGTAGAAGAGAAAACATCCTGAAGTGCAGTTGGAAGAGAAAACACAAAGAAGAAAGATACCTGTAAATACGTCCGGGAAGGAAGAAGCAAGGATTTCCCTTTAACTTGATTTTCATATCCTCTCTTTCAATTACTCATAATTAATATAATTAATTATTATCAGGTATAGCTCAAACTTTTGAATACATTATAGGATTTTCATATGTTCAACAAAGTACATTCTTTGGCATTTCTGTGGGAGAAGGACCCCCCTCTGTGACTCCTGTTAGATAAAAGTGGACACATTCCTGTTTTATGGGAAGTCCTAGAATTTGTCATTTATTTATTAGTTGCAGTGACTGTATTTAAGTGGTACTCAGTGACAAAGGTGGGTAAAAATGTTCCATTTTGCTACAAGCTATACATATACATGATGCATACATGATAGCCATATACATCTCTCTACGTTCAAGAATTTCCAATCTAAACAGAAACTAAAGAACTGTATTGGCATCTCCATTTTACACATTGGTATTGAGACAGTCCAAGTTTTTGAGAAGTATTTGATCTGGCAAAGTGTTAGTTGGGAAACCTTTAGCTCTACAGGGTGACCCAGGGAGTATCTCCAAAACTCCTCTCTCTGACACTGTTAAGTTAGCAGGGAGAAAACAGAATGGCAACTCTTCCTGCTTTCTGTAGGTTAAGAACAGTGCAGAAGGCTGAATGAAATTCAAAGGGGAGAGGAGCCAAGGCAAGATCTGCATATAGTGGAGTTGCTGCACGTTTTGCCTTAAGAAAGTGAGAAGCTTTTGATGATGGTGTTTTAGGGAGATTTCTCCTTTACTATCAACAAATTGCATCCCGGTACACGCCAGCACTTTTCGTTGTCCTGGTAGCACTAAACAGCTGGGTGTATGGTGGTGGGGAACCCTGCCAAAATGCACACTGTACTTAGGTGTTGTTATATCTCAGAATACAGACTCAGCGACAGGAAGTTTAGTCCGCCAGCTAATGGTTAATAACATTAAACCATTTCCTATTAAGCTTTCTCCAATTGCTGCGAAAGATTGCTGGGCAGATCACTGCAGCTAATGTCTTCTGTGTCAGCATTAAAAATCATGTTTGCCACAGATCTGCCACTTACAAACGTCTATGCACTTTAGTCTGTTATTAATGCATACTTGCTCACTCATTTGGCAGACATAGTCTTATTCACACACACAATCACCAGGACCCCAAATTGTTCTTAAGCAACAATCCAAATGCCCAGATTCTGTTATCTGTCTTCCAACCACAACTTGCTAGATCCATAACAGAGACTGTCTCCGAACCCTGCCTTGATAATTTCTGCAGAGCACTCCGGAAAACTTGTGAATGGGAGAAGTCTTCTGAAACTACATTAACCCTTTTGGCACAGAAAAGCAGGTCATCAGTCACTGATATCAACTACTGAACCGTTAGGAATATAAAGTATTTTTTTGAAATGAATATACAGTGGGCACATAAACTCCTGCAACTTCCAGAAAGAGATCTGAAGATAGTCCTAGCTGTCTGTGTTTTAGGACTCTCATCCACTCAGTGCTCTCTAAACATCAGTCCCACGGGAGAATGCTACTTATTTACCTCAGTGAAACATACCTAGATCCATAATCAACTTTGTGATATCCTAGGAAAAGATACACCACTGGATCCAAGGTAGAGCACAAGAATATTTGTGTCTTCAGCAGTGATTATGATTGATTTGTACCCACCATTTAATTCCTGAAGCATATGTAAAGGAACACAGGTATCTGCTGCCCCCTCATGAAGTGATTTGGGGAGATCAATTTCTTCCACAAACACCTCACAATGGTCTTTGGTTGGCCTTGAAGCTGAAAAGCTAAGCAGGGTGTGTGGAACTGCTTTGAAACTGCTCTTTGTGATCTGTTTCTTAAGAGCAGCTGTCCTAAACTAAACAAAAGGTCTATCTACCACAGTGTCTTGTACTTAAATGGCCAAAAGCAAAAACCAAAGAAGAGTATGTGAAGCGGGCAAGCATCCATGACTGATTTTCTTTTTTGATTGCTACTGAGCACTAAGCTGACATTTTCACTGAACTATTAATCATCACACCAAAATCTTACTACAAAACAGTAACGATCAGCTCAGACCCATTGTTTTATATGCTAGAATTATTCTTTTCCCCATATGTAACACTTCCCATTATTTATACTGAATTTTAATTGCCATTTTACTGCTGAGTTTCTGAGTCTCCTGAAGTCCAACAAACTTGGTCACTGCTTACCCTGTTTTCTAGGTTGTTTATGACTATGCTGAACAGCAAAAGTCCCAGAAGTCTTTTTCTCCCCCTCCTCCCCCATTCTGAAGAATGACTTTTTTTCCTTTATTCTTTCAGTCAAAATTTGATGAGGCTTAGTTGAAAAATTTAGTTTACAATTTTCTCTATTGCTGGTTCTTGTGATCTGGAGTTGTGTCTTTCATTTAATGCTTGGATCCTCTCTTTGTGTACCTTTTCCTGATATCTTCTAGCAACTGTGAAACAGTGTATTAATTACACAGTCTTCTGCCCCTACATGTAATCAACAGGCACATTCTGCAAATCTGCAAGTGTTTTTCTAGCATCAGTTGTTCTTTATATCACTCTCAATCTATCAATGGCATGAAAAGCTGCACTGGAATGGTTTCAATATGGCTTAGATTTTTTTATACTCTCTCTCTCCCTGTCCGTTCTTCATAGAGATTCATCTGATTTTGCCATTGCCAGAGCCTTGTTAGTATGCTAGTACTTCAGCAGTGCCCAGATGTCTCCAATGAGTCCTGAACAACAAACAATTGTATTTCCAAGTAGATTCTTCTATAGCTCCCTTTTCTGAGACCTGTTCATCTTCTCTCTTTCTGCTGATGGCAAAGTACTTTAGATTTCTGTTTGGACATGGTACATGACATTCTTTTAAGGGATGCTCGCTTTCAAGAAATTTTTTTTTTTTTAATTATTGTATCCTTACTCCCTACACTGTGTACTTTAGGTAGGTTATCAACAGCTCCTGTTGTAGTCAGAGGACAAGATTTATGCCTGATTAATAAGCCTTGATTGCGATCAAGTATTTGGTCATTAATAGTTAAACAACATTTCTTGACAGCTTCTGTTTTGAAGCTGAAACGCTGTGCTTCACAGTGTTTAATTGCCTTCATTTGCTCTATCCTCAATTGCTTGATCTATTGTGATTCTTCCAAAAGGGTTTAGAGATCCAATCTGAAATAACAAGCAGTTGGAGGGCTAATTGGCAAGTGCATCATTTGCACATAGTTCAGTTTGCAGTACGGAAAAGTCCAGGGAGTGACAACACAAATGAAATTCAGATGTAGCCTCCAGCCTTTTTTTCCAGACACTCATACTAATTTCAGCATATAGTCCCCTATACTATATCAGAAATTCAGACTGTTGGCAGTTTCCAATTACCCTCACCTTACTTAACTTAAGGACACAGCCAAATAGATACACCGTTTGTAAGATGCAGTCCAATATATACATTTACTGAAATGCAGTTAGCAAAAGTCATCACAAAAATGGTTATATACTTAAATGTCCCTTTTACATAGGTAAAATGCTCAAAAATCCAGTACCATCATATAAATAAAACCAGCACAAGTAAAACTGGTATTGCGACAACCAAATTTCATTTTGGAAAGGCTACATACAAATAAACCTGACTCAGATTTTTGCCTCCTGATGGTATCAATCACTGCCCTAACTTTCAGACTATATGTTTTGTTTCCATTGGTTGACAGTTCTTTGCTATTCTGAGCTCTGTTCACAAACAGCAGCAAGTTCCAAATGTGGGATTCTATCATGAGTATTCTTGCAGAAGAAAAGACTTATGATCTTGTGGAAACTTATTAAAACTTAAAAAAATTCCCTCAAAATAGCACGCTTATCCAAACCTGAAGTCCTCACACAGGTTTTAGTCAATTCTTTCTTAAGAAAAACTCAAATTTATTTATTCAGGAACAATTTTGACTGACTGTAGATTTCAAAGTACAGTATGCTGTTTGTACCTCAGAACTGTAACATTTTTTCTCATTAAAATTTTCCAGAGAGAATTGCTTTCTAAAAAACCGTAAAAAGTTCCCTTACAGACATATAATGAAAGCAGATAATTAAATTAGTGAGTAAGCAAAAACAAAGTGCTATTAAGGTCAGTGAGAGCTATGAAATATTGTAATGTTTCATATCATTAGTTGTACTCACTTTTCCCTCATCTCTTGGGCTGTCGCTTAAATGTACTACTGGCCCAGGGTGAGTCTTTGTGGATCTGCAAAACAAAAATCAATTCAAATCTGTGATTTTTTTTTTTTTTGTATAAAGAGCCCTGTACTTCAAATGGTTTAAAAGTCATTCTAAAAAGCCCAAGAGGGGAAGATACTTACCTGAAGGTTATCGTAATCTTTCTGTGTCTTCCTCATATTTCCTTTTTCCTCTGTTATTGGTAAAGACTCTCCTTTAAATCCTTTTTTTTTCTTTTTTAATTTTTAATCTCATTAGTCTTCTCATTACATTAAAATTTTCATCTAATTTCTAGGGTTTTTTGCCGCTTCTGTGGCCCACTCCCTCTCCCTGCTCTCCACCTTTGCCTGATTTCAAGGCTAATCTGTCAAGGATTCATTAAGTCTTCACTGGTTTCATTTCAATAACTGATCTCAAGCCCCATCAGTTTCATGAATGATAGGGATTCAGTAACCTCATCTACACTGCTCCATCAGCTTCAGTGAGGTTTCCAAGATGAAGCATCTTGCCTTTGTCCATTCTACAAAGCCTTATGCTATCTTCAGACCAACTATTACAGTTACACTCACAACACCTGTTCAGTGAGGCTGCTCAGCCATCAGACCCATCCCATGAGCCTTCATAACACACTATAAAGATTTCCTGTTGTTCATGCTATCTCCTACCTTATCGCAATAACTATCAGCAACTTATTATGTAACTCAGTACAAGGACTGCTGCTCAAGTCACCATTGTCCAGCACCTGATAGCAAATGCAAATCATAGGAAGCTGAAGGGACAGATTAAGATTTTTGAACTGTCATCCTTTCTGACCAGTCCTTTGCAGTCTGGTAGTCATACAGAGCATAAAGATGAATGCCAGCCCGTAGAGCTTTAGGCTATTTGAATGCCTGCACAGTACAGGTCCTTTCCTCCCCCTAGATTCTGTGGCCAGGGTGCACATGCCATAGAGATCAACATAGGATTTCGACTTGCTGTCCCTGCTTACATGGCTGGTCTGGGTTCAACAAAGTTCACTAAGAGAAGAAATATGGCAGAGACTGGCAGAGCCCACAAAGCTAAGCATTCACCTAGAAGCTGAATCTAACATTCTGTACACTCCTCGTTGAAAAAAATCTGCTGGAAACAGCTGTATAAAAATCATAGCAAAATAAAACAAAACGAAAGGTTCTCCAACCGAAGTCCTCAAAGGCATCCCCAAAACTAAGAGTATGCCTCCCCCTTTGGCTCAAATACAGAACTGTAGCAAAACTGGCCTCAAAACACTTTGTTCCGCCATGTTGGACTCCAAATCAAGACTAAGGGTAGTATGCAAAAATTTCCAGGCAACTTGAACATTAAAACATTATAGAGTAATACGTGCATAGGCCCCTCCCCTCTCCATAACGATGCATTCCGACATTCTTTAGAGCATGCCCACTTTCCTCTGGCCTCTATTTTTTTCCATGAGATGTTTTAAATATCTCAACTGTTAGGACCTCTCAGGTGAGGGTGTGTACCAAAGCTAGGCCAAGGCAGGTTGGCAAAGACCTTCTCTGGTATTTATTTATGTGCTGAAGACAATGAAAAACTACTCCAGACATCCTTAGATTTCCAAACTAAGTTTGCTCCAGATCAAAAAGATGCAAAACTTTGAGTCATCTAAAGGCCAGGCAGCCTCCCAAGGCTATGCTCCACTCCTTTACATGTTTTGATACTACTGTTAGCTGCATACATTGCAAACACTAAAAATAAGACTTGGCTTACAAAGCTAGGGGCAGTGGGGCAGCCACTTCTGTGGTGAATCTTCTGCATGAAATGATCCCATGCTACCGTTAGCTTTGACAGATCATGTTTCCACAGATAACTGCAGCATTTTACCTTCCTACGTGATGTTTAGGTGAGCAAGGTTCCACATGAGCACTATACAACATATCCCAGTACTGAAGTGAGATCAGCAGGAACACACCGGACAGCCTATTTTTAAAGTGACATTTTATACTGACTGTCTTTAATGGTGCCAGCAGCAAGTACTCAGTTGGCTTGAGTCATAGAATGCAACAATTTTTCCAGTGGACTGTTTGCAGAGGCATGGTTAGCAGAAGGCCTGGCTGTCATTTCTATCCAAGCTAACTCCCCAAAGGGGAGCTTCTGCTTCTAAGTAACTTATATTGACATAAAAATTTCCTACAAAGTCAGACCTGGGAGTGGGCAGTGACAGGGAACTGAGAGGTGGGATAAGGATATTCACAAACAGGGCTTAAACCCATTCATGTTCTGCGCTGTATGTCCTCAAGGAGTACATATGGCATCCTAGGACATTCTAGGCTGCTTTAAACTTTGCTTCTGACAGAGGTTTACTGTTTGGACCGGTCAAAGCATTTTGAAGGAAATAACTAGGTCGGTATAGGTTACATCCTGCCACACATAATTTTATTCCCCTACAGCATCCAGCATTGAAAATAAAGGCTGATGGGAAAAGAAGGGAGGAGAATAAGAGGAAGAATTGGGCAGATGGAGACACTATCTGGAATACTTTGTAGTCAAACGAGAACCACTCCAGTACACTCTTTATCCATTTTTCTTTGCCTTTGTACGTAGCACTTCTTGGTGTTCAAAAAAAGTATAGTTTCAAGACTGCTCTAGGCTGATTAGCAAGACAGAAGACTGAGCAGAGCCGAGCAAATGCCAGGCTTGACTAAGCTGATGACAGGCAAAATGGCAGAAGGAGCACAAGCACACAAGCTGTCTGACAAGGTGTGCTGTTTTCAGCCAGTTATTCCAGCCCATTGAGCTGATTATTAGGCAGGTTAGGTTGCTTGGCTACTCCAGCATTGGTATTTGACCAGAAATATTGGCAAGAGGGGAATGGAGGAAGCAAAGGAAAGAGCATACTGTCTTTCTAAGCTGAAGGCTGATCCCATCTAGATTGCTCTTTCTACTTATGAATTTTAAAAGTTGAGAACAATTTAATCAAAGTAGCACAACCACCGTTTTCTTTTTAAGCTATACACACACTATTGCATACTAAAGTAAGCCTCTATTTATCTTCAGGGGGAATTACATTGTTACATGACCTGTAGTTACTCCATATTACATCTAATTTTAGGCTAATTATACTTTCATTGTCATACAAAGATGTCAAACATGTCAAACCCCTTCTTCCTCTGTAAATGATAAGGAATTGTCTTTTAATATCAGTCTTATTTTCCTTTTATATTCTTGCAGGGGAATAGCCTCTGGCTTCCAAACAGCTAAACGGGATAATCTTCAACAACACCATACGCTCTCCTACCTCCTGCATTTTTCCATCTTTCTGTTTTTCACCGAGTCTACTGTATCATGATAGCTGGAAGATCCTATGAGGTTTGCATTCCGAAACACTGTAATAGAATTTCGTTTTGCTTTTCAAGATATTAGGCACTTCTTATTTTCTTTAGTAGCAATATCTTTTTATTAGGTTCCAGACTATTTCCATTTTTTTCTAGTTGTATTATTTTAGTTTGGCAGGTGTGTCATTCTATCAAAAAATAGGCTCAATGAACTATTGCTCTGCTTTCACACCTATGCCAGCAGTCTTTGCTTCGGTTCTTGTTAGCTTTTTTTTATATCAAGTATTAATACCATGACTGTCTGACAGTGCCTAGCTTTGATTACAGGTAGGTAAGAGGAAACAGAACATGTACCAGAGTTCGGCAGTCACAGCGCTAACTCTGTCAGGAAGTGAGAAAGGATCTTTTCCAAATGATTTTATGTCCTAAGACTCAATTCAGACTTGCCATCACACACAAGATCTCACATAGAGTTTCTGGGGTGATGACAACAAGATGTTCTTGAAGCATTCTGGGATTAGAAAGCTTACTCCTTGGCAATCCTTCTACTTCCACTACTTTTCCAGGGCTCTAAGAAATATATATTTTTATGTTTAGTCTTTCCTTGCAGAAACAAGAAGATACAGATCAAGTAAAGCATTTGCATCAAAACTGACTCTTCTTTGGTCTGAACGATGAGGAAGGTTCACAACGTGAAGCACAAAGGATTTGGTTTGGTTTCTAAGACTCAGTGCTGCGTTGGGGGAGATGTTTGGGGAAGTTGTTTGATAGAAAATAACACCATTTCAGATGCAGCAGGCAAGAAAACTGTGTGTGAGAAGGAACACAGATGGTCTTTCCCTTGCTGCTCTGATCCTGCCCTATGATTGAGCACAGAAGGAGAGACATGATTAACCATTTTCTCACTGGCAATGCAGCTTTCTTGCTTCTCTTGAAGTGATATCATCTCTCCTAGTGCAGCACCGTGGAGCCCAAAGCTAATCCTAGAAACCTAAATCTAATCCTTTGTGCTGCACATTAAGACCAGGAATATGCCAAAGGAAGATTGGTTTTTAATACAAGTGTCTTACTTGATGTACATTTGTTTGTTTCCTCAAGAAAAGAATATACAGAGACAACAGCGATGTCTTTTGGAGCCCTAGAAAAGCATTGTACATAAAATGACTGCCAGGCTGTAGGCTCTAAAGTCAATTTCTCCTAAGGTAGACATCGTGACTGCACTACAAGCAGGTTTATGGGAAGCGATTATTTAGTTAGCTATGTTATATCAATAATATTAGTTTACAGAACTCATGTATCAGAGCTACAGATAGAGTAATTACTACTTGCATACAGTACATTATACTATATGCGGAAATATCTACACAAGACAACATTTTGCCTCATTATAGCTTTAGCCTCAGTAAACAAACTATTTTATTTCCTCTCACTGCTATTACGGTAGAAATGTCAAGGAGATGATAAAGCTGTATGCTGTCATACAGTAGCAAAGAAAGGAAAGCGCTGTTGAATTAAATTAAAAACAAAAGTAGAGATCCAGAAGTTCCTGGAAAGGATGAAAACGTGCTGGGAAACCAAAAAAATATGAGGATATCTTGAATAAAACACACTGCTGCTTATTCCAGATATTTCTACACAGGCATTCCTTCTAGCTGTCTTTGTGACACTGCATAAAAAGTAACTAGATCCTAACCCTAGAGGAAGAGAAAAATAATGA